TAAATCATCAATAAAAGGACAAAATAAGATTTTCTTTGGATGTGCACATTCTCCAATTTTGAAAACCCAAAGGCAATGCTTATGAAATATGGGAAGTTGCCTACCTTCTAGTTGAAAGCCCGTGATCAAACTGATCGTTTATAAGCAGGCTTTCATACGTCCCTTATCAGTTATAAACCAAAACAACCCAATAAGGTGTGTATTAAATGTTTACTTCCTGTTATCTCAAAATCTGCTTGGAACTACTACATGGATTTCTATAGCAAATTCCTCAAAAAGAAAATTCTAGGGATTAAAGGAATGTGTACAGTTTACACAATTTGAGAAATCATTGACATACATGAAACCTATTTAAAACAGCATTTGTATTATTCAAAGCGTTGATTATCAATGATTCCCAGCCCTCTGAAGTTTGAAAAATTAAAAAACCTGGGTGTTAATCCATAGATAATCCTTAAAAATGAGAAATATTTTTGGGGATTATATGGCGCAATCTCATAGTCAAATGTTTTAAAGTGTATATGAAAAACATATGCGAAATGCTCGACAAAACTCCCCAATTCATTCGACAAACAACTCCCCTCCTTTCGGGGAAAACGAGTTTCATGTTTTTGGGAGAACGTGAACGTGAACACGTAACATTATGACCCCCCCCCCCAAAGATTATCGTCCCTCTCTCAATTGATTTGTACAGGAACCTGATCACAATTCAGTTCTTCATACTCATTCGAGTGAGTAACAGTCTTGAAAAGGGAAAGTAGTCCCCGGGGGGAAACAATTTTACACATCCACGTCACTTTCTTGAAAAGTGCTTGCACAACCTCCCAAACTAACACTTTCTGAATAACATAAAACACGAAATTTTCAAGCTTAACACCTTATCCATCTGATTTTCAGCGATGTACTCATTATTGTTTCATTTTCCACTTTTTTGCTCCTATTATATTACTTTCAGAAGGAATTCACGAAATGATGTGAATTTGATACCTGATCATGAGATACTATAATTGATATGTTATTGCATCGTCTGTATAAATTCATATGAATCCCGAAGAATTATTGTGAGGTTTAAATTGTAAATGTGAAAGGGGTAACATTAGCGAGGAATGGTGTAATCAGCTATATTGATAATTGTCTAAATTATTACGAACTTCTAAAATTGTGAAGATTTTGAGTATGTGGAATGCAGATATTTTAAGCACGGTGAAATCTCAGGGGGAATTAGGAAAAGAAGAACTGTCTTTATTAGTTTTCGAGCCCATTAAATCAACAATAAAGTATTTATGTAACACTTCTGCGAGAAACAATCTACATATTAGATAGCGAAAGTTGTTATGATTGTGCTTATTGGCAGATATCAGAGTCACTTTTAAGTGACTTTAGATGAATTAGTTTGCCAAGTGTTCACATATTATGGTATTTATGTTGCTTTAACATTTTTTGACATTTATTGATCAAAAGTGGTAAACAGTAGAAATGGGCTGAGCGGTTAATGACTACTTTTCAACGCCTCTTTATGTAATGCTGTCCTGGTTTTAGTCTTTAAATATTCAATTCAATGGGAAGAATCAATGAGTGAGTGACTAATCAAGTGGAATTGCTCGCAACAATAGAAGTTTAGGACATGCTTAAAAATTAATTATTATAAAATGGTTGACATACAATAATGGTGCAGAAAAAAATATGTGTTATGATAATGTTGTAGTCTTTCATCATCTAAAATTCTTACTCTTTTAGGAGCGACTGGTTCAAAAAAGTCGAATCAAAATATAATTTTCATTTTACATGAGGCCCTAAAGAGCTCAAATGTCGGAAAGGGCAGTCGATGTCCTTACTTTTGAAGGAGAGTGTACCAAAGGGACAACATTTATGGTTTGTTAATTACAGGGTGGTCAAAAAATGGAAACCCTGCATTTTCCTTATATCTTTGTCACTTTAAGAAAATTACTCCCTGATATTTCACACATTTGTACATCATTCAATTTCCTACCACACTACCATATTTCATGACAATCAGACTGATAGTCACAATTGTACAGCACTTTGAATAACATGCTTCAGATTTGACCATTTTCGCTCTGTAGGCAAAGAGCACAGTTGTCAATGAGCCGAATGCATTCCTCAGCGGGTATGGCCTGAATGAAACAGATGATCTCACTTTTGAGGTTCGCAATTGTCCTGAGGTCATTCTCATATACTCTATCTCTGCCATATCCCCACAGGTAGGGACATTTTAGACGATGAGTACAGGTTTCCCCACAACGCAATAGTGGCCACTGGGCATGTTCTTTAAAGTAGTTGTAACATTGTGACTATCAATCTGATGGTCGTGAAATAAAGTAGGCTGGTAGCAAATTGAATGATGTACAAAAGTGTAAAATATCAGGGAGTTATTTTTTAAAATAACAAAGATATGAGGAAAATGGTAATAGGGCTTCCATTTCTTGACCACCCTTTACAACAAAAGAGATATAACAATGTTCATATATCCACACTCATTTTACTAATGCACTTTTTGTTTATTACACATATATAAAATCTACACAAAGCTTTACATTAATCGTTATAATGCATACTTTCCTACATTTGAATTGTATAAAGACAACCAGACGTATGGAATACATTTTCATAATTGTCTTACTTTAAATCTATCTTTGGTTCTGTTCCTTTTTATTCATTGTCAATTTCTCTGAGAAAGGAAGGCTATGTCATCTTAACTTTGTCACCGTCAAAGTCATACAATTTACGCAATAGTTGTACATGGTATATACTATATAGCCTACTGATATCATTTAATCTTAGAATTCACGGAAAACTGTAAAAATGTATCATTTTCAGGATTACAGAAAACATATTGCCATTGGTTTATTTATTGGAAATATTGTACACATCATATCTTATATTAGATCCCTTGATTTACAGTCGTGACATATCCCCTTGTAATAAGATAGAACCTCTATTTAAAATGACCCATGAATGATAAACCCATTGCTGGATTCTCTTGAGAAAACCCATTGAATGATATAGAACCCAAAAGGTATTACTAGTACCTAATAAGACCCATTTAATATCAATAAACTCACTCGTGTTTTATCTTTAGAAGACGTCTTGAATAATAGACCTCTTGTGATTAATGATTATCATTTTGATTAGAAAAGTACCAGGAGAATTTACACAGAGACATCATTTTTCTGACAGTGCTTCTCTCTGACAGTGCATCATCGCAAAAATGTCAATAGACAAATTGAAAGTGTGAAAAATATTCATCAAAGTATCCGGCATCAAGCCAAGTGATATGGTGCGTCGATGTAGCTATAATATATGATAGCAGTACTTGCAGTTGAGTAGAAATAGAAAGTTGATATATTTTTTTATAATTACATTTGAGAGATCAACTTGAGATTCATATTACTGAAAGGAACATGGAAACCTTAGGTAGAGAGCTGGTACATTCTTTAGAAATATGGTACAGGATTGGAGAAACGGAATTGTGACGACCAGCTCCCTACCCTAAGATTCCAATAGTGTCGTATAAATAACACTACATAAAATTTACGGAACCATTAAAATTAATTTTCACAGGTTCATAAACATCACCAACTCAGTTGCACATACTTTTAAAGCTATATTTATAGAGAACATTAATTTTGTTCGTCAAATAATTTTCTTTAACTTGCAAAAGCCAAACTCATTTTGACAATTTATGTATTTTTCTACAGTATATTAAGCACTATAAGCATGCATATGCTTAACACACGTGGTAGCTGATATATCACAAATAACTAGAATATTTTTTTTCTGGGTGACCTTCTATCTAAATATAAAATTGATATGGTTTCTGGATTGGAAGTACAATAATTTTTGCCTTAAGAATTCATAAAACAATTTCCTTACGCTCTTTCATCTTACACGTTAATGTTAAATATTCATGTGTTGTGCGTTACTGTACAGTCACAGTATCTGAATTTACAAGCATACGTTTATGCTAAATATATATTAATGAGATGCTTGGGAGATTCATTTTTTTCTCCTGATATGAATTATATATTGAAATTCAGAGCACGAATCTAATGCGCAACTTTTTATCATTTTAGACTTTAATGCGGAAATGCTTTTTATCAACAGATATAATTGCCAGTAATTCATATAAGTCGGGATATAAGTACACAGGTCATATGTGAGAAACTCAGTCACCAGTGGCATTATGGTATGAAATATCAAATTGACGAGGTTCAATTGAGAAGCATGTCAAAATATCTTTAAAATATGCCACAACTTTAAGACAATCATTACCAGGAAATAATAGTGTCATGAGAAATTATCAAAAATATCTTTAATGGCTATGGCCGTTCTTGATTTTAACACATTGACAAAATGGTGTCACTTTGAATAATTCAACCTAAAGTTTTTGATCTAATCTATGCATGCAGTTATTGTAAGTGTAATTTTAGATAATGATGAACGTCTCTTTAAGCTGCGATTTGCTTTTCTTAGGCATGCAGTTTTTCCCAATTATTCAATGACATTAAATAATCCACATGCCATTGAATAATCCGGCCACGTGCACATTGCTCTCTGTCAAACGTTCTTATTGTCCTGCAGATGTTGTTTTACACATTTTTAAGTGATTGCTTCTCATTTATTACTGTTCTGTTACTGCACTTTATCCGTACAATGTTTTGAAGCCACAAATTCCACTCATTCTTGAAAAACGAATAACCGATAATCTGTTTATTTAGTCAGTACATACATGGGCCATGGTACATATAAACACTATTTATTTTATTCCATTTTGTTGCTCTTGTGAACTAGAAATATCCAAATTAATTTTTGCATCTTCAAGTACCCCATTCATTGGCTCAAGACTATAAATACCATTTTAAATGCCCATAGGATGCAGGTGACCCATTCATTCTTCTGAGGCGATAAATATCCCAATAAGGTCATTAAAGTCACACGTTTCCTCTTCATTACAGTTACAAATACCTCATTCATTTAAAGGGAGAATCAGATCTAGTAAACAGGCTTAACAAAAATTGTTTGAATTTTTGAATATTTGGCTCATATCATTCCTTGACATGTCTTTTTCTAAAAATTCCCCCCAAAAAACTTTTATTTCAGGAATATTAAAGATTTTCACTATGATGCATTCACTAAAGTTCCCACTTATAGCTCAGAGACGTTCAATAAATGTGTGCAAGCTACACAATGTGTTGATACCCATGCATTTTACGGATTGTTCCGAAGCAGACCATACCAACAACATTCACTATTCGGCTCAGGTAACATGCAACTGCTTCACCTCATATAGTATGAAGCAACAGTTCCACATAGCATTCATTATATCTTTGCATTTGATTCAATGTTCTTGTGACATTAAATCAGAACCATTAAACAGATCATGATGAAAAGTCAGATATGGTATATTCACTTTATCCAACTTAATTTTTCTTCTTCTGATGGGCCGAGTTCATGAGAGCTCTTTTTAATAACGGAATAAAGTTCACGTGCTTGGTCCATACGTTCCTCTGTGAAGAATCCACGGTCATACTTTAGCATATCCGAAACAACCTTTTGAAGAACTGTTGATTTGTTTTTATTTGTCGCAGCTTTGATAAAAAGTAGTGCGACATCCGGTGGTACAAGACGTTCCCTCTCGAAGTAGCTTACTCCTACCATTGTATCGTATTGGTCTAGGAGATTATACTGATCCTCCCAAAATAGGAGGGGATTACATCCCTTAGCAAGAAGTTGTTCTATTAAGTCTGGGCGTTCTCCACGCACCAGACACTGCAAGAACAGCCCTCGTATTGTCTGTGACCTAGTATGCTCAGATATAACTTGAGAGAGCACAGATAGCTCATTGGAAGTCTGTTCCTTTATGATCAACACCCCGATGGTCTTGAATAGCGTCTGATGAGACAATTTATCCGCTCCTCCACGTAATAAGACCTTTACTATATCTATTGGAACTGTTGAGGCTTCCGAACTCATGACAGTCAAAAGGGCTAGATCCAATGCCGTGTTGCCATCAGAATTGACCACATCTATGTCAGCCTTGCTACTCTTAACCAGGCGTTTTACTTGGTTTACCTCATTCTGCAGCACGGCACCCATCAGGGCAGTCTCTCTAGGAGTGGTGTTGCATTGTTTCTGCTGCTTGGTTGGCAGACCATAGTTGTTGCCCATTCTATACTAACCTGAAAACACATGAGGATTTGGAATAAACGTTTTGATAATCATTGAAGATGAAAGAGATTTATTTACACCCATATATGCAACCTACGGATTAATAATTCATATGTAAAACCAATACAAATAAAATGAAAATGATTCCAATGTAACTAACTTTGATTAAATGTTTCCAATGTAACTAAATCAGAGTTGCTGATTCAAATGTAATTATTTGCAATGTCTAACTAAATACAACGTATGGTAAATTGTAAAAAAAAATGGCAAAATATTTTTTGAAGTATCATATAATGTGAATTACTATAGTACTCTGAATTGATTAAGTAATGAATTTACTAGCATCACCACCTGGTCATAATAATGGAACTAACTAGCTACTTCCTTATTTGGGTAAACGATGAGAGACTAAAGCTAGAAGTCTTCCTATTGGTCTAACTGTTGTTTCATGCTTAAAATGTCATCGTTTTTGTAAACCCCTGATATGTATAGTCACGATACTTTGATACCTAACCCTAGACTGAGATATTTTTCCGATGGATCCTTTTTGCACGAAACTACCATTTACTAGCATTTCCTATCAATATTTCGTAAAAACACGTTTTGAATAACATCCACAGATTGAGTTACCTTATTTACCTTATTTGACCTATTTTGGAAACGTCTACCAGTATAAACAGTCATCCAAAGACTAACTGGAATTGTATTTTATACCATTGTGCAGCCACGCTGCTCTCTGTTCTAGAAATTTGGAGTAAATGGTAAAAATATCAACTGCACACCCACGCATTGAGGCAACCATGAATAAGGAATTGGTACATTATATTCAAGTGATACCAAATAAAATCAATTTTCTCCATCGAGCGGATAGAATAATATGAGCTATAGGTTAATAGGCTTCTTGTGTTTTCATTGACTCTTGTATTAAACCTTCTGGCAAGACAGGACAGCCAAACAAAAAACTAATTAAGAATATAGCAAAAGTAAAGGAGGCAATAGAAACCATTTATATGTGTATTGTAAAATTTCTTGGTAAAAAGTCACGATACATACAGGGTGTTCCAAAAGTAACAGGACTGGTGCTGGCATTTTGTCAAATCTGTACGGAGTGTCTTCAAATTTTCACAAATTGTACTTTGAAGTATTACAACTAAGATTGTGAAGTTTCAGAAAAAATTATAAAATTAGGGTAGAGTTACGGTTACTATAGTAACATGACATCACAATACCCAGGGCAACTTTTTCATGAAAATGTGATATCCAACATTTTTGTATGACTGAAGAAAGTATCTAATTCACCTATTACAACACAACATTTCTTGTTTGTTTTATTAGTTGTTTTGTTGTAATAGTGTTGCTATACAACTCAGATTCAAGTATGATTTCATAATAATAATATTTATTTACTAATTCACTTTCCCGGAATATCACTATCTATAACAGTTTGCACAATTAATGATTGAGTTTTAAAAAAACGCAATTTGAAGCCAGTCATCCACCTTGATAATGCGCCTACCTGCAAGTCAGCATTAAAGACCACTGCCGCTATAGAGGAGCTAGGTGTTGATGTCTAAAACCATGCACCATATCTTATGATCATGCAATATTTAATTTTTACTTATATGGAGAATGGAATCCTAATCAGCGCGGTTAAACCTTTAAAGATGAGAATGACCTGCTCCTAATTGTCCTTGCAATCGACCTTGCGTGACATTTCTTCAGATTGGTTCACTTATGTGTTCGAATCATGGATCCAGAGTGCTTCTCTTATACTGATCAAAGAGGAGCGTACTTTGCAAAGTGAGGATACATAGAAATATCAAATGATGTAAAGCAAATCTAATTTTCACCAGTTGAATTGTTGCATTTCAACTTTTATATGGGTTGTTCAAAATGCTTCGTCTGTAATTTTCTGTGTTGAATGTTGCCCCGGGTATTTTGATGTCATGTTACCATAGCAACCATAACTCTACCCGAATTTCATAATATTTTTTGAAACTTTGCAGTTTTAGCAACAATACATGAAAGCACATTATGAAAAATTTTCAAGACGATTGGTGCATATTTAACAAAATACGAGCACCAGTCCTGTTACTTTTGGAACACCCTGTATATATTTGTAATTTACAACTTGATTTCCATCTTACAATATTTTTGGATGTTAAACCTCATTAAATAATACACATTTTGCAGACAATGATAATGAAATATTCATATCTCATAAATTGTAATGAACAGCACTGTTATCTTATGATAATGAAAAGGTTATATCTTATATTGTAATTAACAGTACTTTAATCCTATGATAATGAAAATGTTATCTCTTATATATTGTAATTAACAGCACTGTTATCTTATGATAATGAAAAGGTTATATCTTATATTGTAATTAACAGCACTGTTATCTTATGATAATGAAAAGGTTATATCTTATATTGTAATTAACAGTATTGTAATCTTATGATAATGAAAAGGTTATATCTTATTTTGTAATTAACAGAACTGTAATCCTATGATAATGAAAATGTTATATATTATATATTGTAATTAACAGCACTGTTATCTTATGATAATGAAAAGGTTATATCTTATATTGTAATTAACAGTATTGTAATCTTATGATAATGAAAAGGTTATTTCTTATATTGTAATTAACAGTACTGTAATCCTATGATAATGAAAAGGTTATATCTTATATTGTAATTAACAGAACTGTAATCTTATGATGATTAAAAAGCTATATCTCATATATTGTAATCAACAGTACTGTAACAGTAATTCTATGATAATGAAAAAGTTCTTATATAAAAAAATATGACATATCTTATATGTAATTTTAAAAAATGTCATACTTTACGTAATGCTCGCAGTAAACCGGGAGTAAACCTTGTCATTTGCTTTATTCCTTAAATGCCAAAAGTTCTGATTTTTTTCATGATAATACTTTGACATTTGATCAAATATCCCAAATCGTTTTCCAGATATTGATATAGCATTGTAAGTGACACACTAATGTTGTTGTTTTTTAGATAACATTCTTTTCCTTTACAATCACTAAAAGACTGCGCTCTTCTTTTTGAAGAAATACACACATCATTGGGAGAGTAGTTATTGTCCCTTTGATACACCATAAAGTCATTACCTAATCAACAACAATAACACAACTAATACTTTTTTATTCTTTGAAGAGAGTCACTTTGGTAACAATATATCTCAGAGTCTGGAACCTTTGATATCAGGAACTTTTTAATCATACTCATTTTTCACTTAATGGGGTTGTGCATTTATTCTTACAGATGCTAATTACTTTTTTCATGAGAAAAAAGGTGAGGGAGAAATATCATTGTGTTTTTTACAAGATGTTAACTTCCTTCATCATCAGAAGCTCATTCATATCAGACCAAGCTACAAATGATTTTTAACATTTTTAGCAATGTAATTATTTACCCCCCTATCACACCAAACTAGTTCTTATCCGTTCTTGCCAGTCCTACGAAAATGTCGTAAAACGGGCTCGATCTGGCTGCGGTCGGGATATATGTCTAAAATAATTAGCTACTTCGTTCATAAACAGTCTTCAATACGTCCATCACGTTCGCAGTTCGTTCAGGTCGCACCACGTCGGTGTGCAACGTAGTATAAACCGTCCCTTAGTCTAGAAGGTCATCATGACCTGATTACAGAACGGTATGGTCGCCATCGAATTTTGAATCGATTCAAAATTCTAAATCACATACCCCGTTCGGGAAAGTCCATGAAGTTCGTAAACAGACCGTAGAACGTTGTAGCTACGTTCATTCAGTACGATTCAGTTCGCACACAGTTTAAAACCGATTCGGCAACGTTTTGATGATCACCAGAAATGTTGAGCATGCTCTAAGTGCTGGAGGACCTACTCGTTCTAGTAGTTTCATGAAGTTTGTAAACAGATCCCAAACAGTTCTTAGTGGGTTTGTAGTACGTCAAATCCGTTCGTGCACAGTTTAAGCCCGTTTTCGAGAACGTAGTGAGAACTAGTTTGGTGTGATAGTAGGGTTAGCTATTCATTATACATGAACAATGGAGGTACATCTTGTAGTATCTACAGCTTCAGTTCACTAAAAATGGTACCGTCTAAAATCTACAATATATTAGAGCTGAGATACTTTTGAAATTGACATGAGGTTATAATTAAGCCCTATCATATCAATGCTATTGCCAACGTCTCAATGTATCATGTAATATAGTAATATGCTGTACAATCTGATTCCACGATTTCCGAGTAAACTATCAACAGAAAAAAATGTAATTAATATTAAAAGCTTTAGAGGTAATTGTGTGAGCCAGCGTCATATAAGGTCATGCCTTAATATTTAATTCGTCATTAGGGAGAAACAGTCTGTCAATTACCTGGATGTTCCACTGAATAATATTTCCAAATGTGACACATTTTCTCATCAAATACTAGGAGAGGAGATACAGAAGTAACAACTTATCAATGTGTCTACTTAAAATCGACTTAAACATTCTGGGAAACAGACTAGATTTATTAAGATTATTAGAAAAATGTTTTTAATATAGGCATCACAACTATAAACTTTTTGTTGAGGTTGTTTTATTGGCTGAGTAAGTCTAGATGTCCCTGGCTTGATTCTCTGCCAACATTACTTCATTAAAGGATCGTGACATGGTTGTCAACAGTAATAGAGAATGCATGATGAAAAAACTAAAAATAATAACGAAAAGTAAAAACATTAGCAATGAACGAAACAATACAAGACCTCTATAAACAAAAACAAGGCATTAACATGCAAAGTGTCAACATCTGCCATTTGTTACAGACGCTGCACACCAGCCATCGAACACCGTCCATAAAACAGTTGGAAACTGTAACAAAATACGTTCTTCTGGTGTTGACCTAGAAAACAGATAGGGGGAAGTGTGACAAAAATGATGAAATTAGAAAGTACAAAGATTAGGTCGAATGGAGCCTGATAATATGAATTTAGATCATATTGTCCAAAAATTGAGC